TCCAGAATAGATGGGAGTGGGAGCAGGAGCTGAGAGTCTCAAATGGTACCTCCACAATACAGGACAGGACCAGATTGAGGTCCCATTGAAGGACAGGATTTTTCATGGTAGGGGAAAAAAAAGTTCAAGGTCCTTCAGAAAATGGGTGGACATCTCATGTGAAAACACCTCAAAACCTTGGATCAGGGGATCAAAAGCCGAGATGGCAGCTGGATGGATCTTGAAGGAGGAAAGGGCCAAATTCTGCTTCTTTGCATGAGCAGGTAACCCAGGATATTTGTACAGATGAAGCTGCTCAAGATATGTAACCTTCAGATGCCCAGTGGGAGAATCAGGTCCACTTGGTCAGGTAAGATGATTTAGTGGAAAGTTTTCTACTAAGACAGGGATGAGCAATTATTTTTGACCTGGCACAGGCACCGTAGCCAGCCCGTGCCCCTTTAAGGGCTCCGGGGCCGGGAGGAGGGCAGACGATTTTCCCTGGTGGTGCCCAGAGTGGCCACCAGGGAAATCACCCCCACTATAGCCCACACCTTTTTATTGACCCTTCTAGGAGGCTGTTGCATCCTTTTAACAGGAGGGGTGACATTAGAACTTTTGAAACCTTTTACAGAGAGTCCTGGGGGCAAATGCGGGGAAAAAAAGTGTACTTGAATGACTTGTTTAATTTGAGTAGTGTACCCTTCGTTGGGAGGAGGGACAAGACTGTGACTTAATAGGCATGCCTGTTTTAAGAAAATGAAGCTGTTCAGTATATATTCAGTACTGTCATCATTTCTGTGTTTTCTTCACGTTTCTTTGCTGTTCTGTGCTGTACTCGTGGACAGTCTAAAAATATAGTTACAACATTTGTGAACTACTTAGCTTTTTGTCATGTTCCTTTAAGCTTCACAAGCTGTGCATCTCTAAAAGGACTATATAACCAGTTGAGTGGAAGCATTCCTGACCTTAAGATGCATTTAATTTTAAAAAATAACACAGATTTAAAAAATTATTGAAAAAGATACAGTAGCACTTGGAGAAAACTCATATGGACACATGCACTCTTTACAGATACACTTAATTTAGATTTAATCCTCAGAAGTTCTAAGTACCCATCAGTGCTGACTTTCCATATCTTGTAAATGCTGAAATATTCTTAAGATAGAATTGTATACATAATATTTTTGATGTAAAAAAAATAAATTCCATGTGTTTACTATGACTTCATTATACATTTTACTAAATGTATATTCCAATAAGCTGACACATATTTTCCAAAATCTAACATTTGTGATTGTTCTTTTTCCTAATCGAAAACCTTTGAATACACTTGCTTCTCTGTCTGGCTATAAACCAGGCATTTAAACAAAAATAAAGGATTGCCAGTTTTGCCAGCTGGGGATGAGAACCCGGCTGGTGATATGTGGGTTCGTGAGGCAGTTAATCCAGTTTTTATGTTTGTTTATTATTTTATGTAAAAAGAAGTTAAAAAAATCACATTTGGCACTTTTTGTTACCACTGTTTTGTTGCTGTTGTGGGAATGTAGCAAAGGTTGCTCATACTTTTTATTATTATTAGGTAAAGCCCCACATACACTACAGTCCAGCTATTGGCCAAGAGATAATGCCTTGTTCAGAAAATGAAAGTATTTTCCCCCAAATCTTACATTCTGTTCACACCTTATCGTATGTGTAGAATCTGTACTCTCGTTTCATCATTTTATTTGTTTTGCTATCATTTCAAGAAAAAGGCTAACAGTAGAAATGACCACATAGTGAAAAATGTACATCTTTCCTCTAAGTCAGAGTAAAATGGTGACTAAAAGATTTAAATATTACAAATTGATTTTCACTTTTTCAGAGAACCATTTGCAACACTCTCTCACTCATACAATATTCTATCTTCAAAAGTAGAAGTAATTTTAGTTCATTTGATCAAGTCTGCGTGCAGGACATTAGTTGAATTTCACACTCACTAAAATCTCATAATTTCCTTAAAAATATCAAATTATTATATAATAAAAATATCTGATGAGTTTCTGTGTTTTGACATAACTATATTTAGTTGTATAAATAAAACAAATTAATTTGGTAAAAATGATTGTTTTTTATCTTAGTTATATACATGACCGTAGTAATATACATTTTCATCATACTACAGGTTGAAACTCTCTAGTCTGGCAACATCTGTGGTCCAGCATGATTTTAGTTAGCCAGATGTCCATTTATCATGGGTGCGGTCAAGTTTCCTGTGGTCTCATAAAATTTGTTTACAGTCACCAGTTCTGGCTCTCAGTGTTCTGTGCTATTATTTAGCTCTGTTTACCCCAGTAAGCAGTAGAAGTGTTGGTAGTGCTGCTAGAGAATATTGATCTCCCTTGGTTCGGCAAATTCTTGGTTCAACACTGGTCAGGGTCCAAGGGTGCTGGACTAGAGAGGGTAAAGGTTGTTTTGTGCTCTAAAGTATGAGGATTTATTTCACTTCTGATTTTTTTTCTTTTTTATAAAACCCTTTCTAGTACTCCTCTTCTGTGTCCTCTTCTGTTTTGAATTCCTGTATCCTCTTGGCCTTAGTATGTGTTTGTGGCAGTGAGTTCCACAAGCCACAGGCAGTCCCCGACTTACGCGGATCCGACTTACGTCGGATCCGCACTTACGAACGGGGCTTTCTCGCCCCGGAGCTCACAGGCAGCGATCCGCCACCTCGACCTCCGGGGCGAGAAAAGCTGCTCCCGGTGCTCCTGGTCTGCTGGAGATGGTCTCCAGCAGACCAGGGGCACCGGGAGCGAAGCCCCAGCCGCGGCGCGGTCCCGCACCTCTGAGGCTTTGCCAGAGCAAAGCCTCAGAGGCGCGGCACCCCGCTGCCACTGCGGCTTTGCTCCCCGTGTCCCTGGTCTGCTGGGGGGGGGCGCAGCTAGTGTGCCCCCCCCCCCAGCAGCCCAGCCTTTTGT